GCGTGAAGCTGAAGACTCCGGTGCAAAAACCATGCCGAGAGGCTCCTATCGGGAGCTTTTTGATAAGGTCAGGTACCGTGATGCTTGGACGCTTGCGCAGAGGTCTCCGCTGTGCGTACAGAAGCTGCAGTTGGTGGGAGTTGGAATGCCGCCGGTGAACCCGCCAACAAAAAAGTATCGGTCAAGATCAAACCCTGTGAGAAGGGGAAGGCCCTTGCTGGACAAAAAACAGGTGCGACAAGTGCCACGCTCTCGGTCACAACGACGAGTGCAACCGGCAGAAGTGGTGGAAAAGCCGAAGCCACTGGAACTGAAGCCTCGTGGTGGGTTGTCGTATCGGTTCAGCAGAGCGTGGGCAGATGTGGTGGACGATGATGAACAGGCGGAGGCCTTGGTCTCGTATGCCGCTTCCTCAAGCGATTCAAGCGAGGAGGAGACCAATGCCGCGCAACGCCTGAAGGAAATCTTTTTGAAAGAAAGGGATTCACAGAGAACTGCGATTCGTGGCAATGTTCCGCAGGGTGGTTCTTCAGGCTCCAATGACGGGCCGAAAAAATCGGTTCACCTTGGCGAAGGGCGCGACAAAGCGTCGCGGGGGGAGACCTGCCAAGAAGTGACTTCACAAGTTTTTTCGCTACCACAACCTTCTCGTCGAACTGAACAGTCTCAAAAAAGAGCAAGGGATGGTTCAGTTATGGTTGGTTCGCTGGCGGTGGGCTCCACGGATGAGGTTTTACCTGGGCAAGGTGTTGCTGGACAGGTGAATGTATCTGAAGGCGCTCAAGTTCTTCCTGGGCAAGAAGTGGCTGGACAGGAGACGGCGCTGGAAGGAGCGGTGCAAATTCCTGGCGAGGAGACTGACCAAAACGAAGGAGAAGGTGGGAGCAATGAACTCCATGGTGATGGTGCGAAGACATTGGATGTTCGTCCGGTGAAGAATGTTCCTCAGCAATTGCTGGTTAAAGGTCTTCTGAATCGGATTTATTGGAAGGTTGCAGTTGGCAAGTTGCCGGTGGGGCAAAGAGACTGCCAAAAAGGGTCCAATAAGATGGATCGAAATTTGGTTATTAGCATGTCATCCGAGGGTGCAAGCGAACAGGATGAGAACCTGGCACTGGAGGACGATGCTGATCAGTCAATGGGTGACGGTGCGATGGTAGTTCTGGTGTATGATCCAAGGACGCTGATTCAGTCGCCTACAACTGATTGGGTTATGCGTCGTGGTCTGACCGATCGTTCCGTCTGGCCAGCAATGGCGTACACAGCACAGAGAATATGTGCTGAAATGGTTCAAGTGGATGAACTGAATGCCCAGTTGAATACTGGGAGACTCCTTTTTGAAAGGAGAGATCAAGGATATTATTGTGATTTGCATCATTCGTTCCATGACAATCCGTGCTTGCCGGTGGTGGGAAATTATCCTCTTTCGGTGATGGGTGCACTGCTTTCTCCTGGCCTGGAAAAGGAATTCAGAAATACTGAAAAGTTTGGAACTGCTATGGAGGCAATAGCCTATGATTGGAGTCGCAGTCCAGGCATGGAAGTTCATGTGGAACTTATGGCAAGGGTAGCCAATCTGGTCGCTCCATTCCTTAGACTTGGAGGCCAAGGGACAGTGGTGAATTCCGAGTTTCTCTGGCAGCACGGGAGGGATCAAATGATGGAGTTCCTTCAGGCGGCGACCTGCGCTGATCAATTGGAAGTTCTCTGGAGAAGAATGGACGACGATGCTGATGAGGAAGTGGATCCTACAGGAATGGTGCTGGAGATCCCCGATCAACAAGATGCGGTACTAGATCAAGGGAACAATGAATCCCTTATTCCCATTGAAGATGCTGGAGGTGAGACACTTGGTGACACTGGAAGGGATGGCAAAGCGCCAGAAGTCTCTCCGGAAGAGGAGACATCCAGTGGGTCGTCAAGACTGGCGGGCACAAGGATTTTCTTGTGGTCAGTGTACTCTCGCGTGGCTTCCAATTTCTCTATGCAGGACCGCACTACTGGTAAGATCTTTGACAGCACAAAAGGGTATCCTGGTGAAGGACCAAGCAATGATGACAATCCTTCCTCTAAGAGGAACTTACCCTGGATCTCGGAAGACTACCTCGACAAAGTGGTGTCAAAAAAGATGGAAAGGTCTTCAGATATGGATGGGTTTGTTCCGGGAAGTGAGGGACCATTGGTAAAGGCAGAGGTGGAGAATGTTACTGCCTCTAAAATTCTTATGGCTCTTTGGAAGAAGGGACATAGAGTTGGTTATAGGAGGTTGTGTCGTTTGAACGCATCTGGATGCAAGGTTGGAGCAATGAAACGTCCAATCAAAAGGGTGCAGAAGATTGGCACTAGAAAGGCCTTCACGAAGATGTTCAATGTTTTTGGATCGTCTCAGCATGGCTCAGGAGTTGGCGGAAAACCAATCATGAAGGTGGTAGGACCAAGGCCAGGTTTTCCAGCTGTACTCCAAGCACCAACTACTGATAGCACGCCGGGTGAAGGGAGCAGTCCCCAGGTACATGGCAATGTTCATGTAGAGCACAATCGCCCTATGGACCGGTACGAGGCAGAGCGCTTGGAGAAGAGGAAGAAAGGCTTCTGCTACTGGTTCGGCAAGGGGAAAGATCGCTGCAAATTTGGTGACGACTGCAAATTCATCCATTCCGAAGAGGATGTGGTGCTACATTCATATTGGTGCAAATACTATGTGGCAGGGAGAGAATGTTTCGCTGGAAAGGATTGTGAGTTCTCGCATGATGCAACTGGTGTGAGGTGCATCCAGTTTGCTCGGTCTGGGAAGTGTCGGTTTGGTGACAGGTGTGTCTTCGAGCATGGTGTTCCGCTGGAAGAACAGAGGCCAAGGTCTCCAAGGACGCCCCCAAGGGATGGTCCAAGGAGAAGTTCTGGTGCAAATGGTGGTGAAAAGGAGATCTCTCCTGAACAGTTCGATGATGGCGAGGAGGATTTTATGGGTTATGACGATGATACCAAAATGACGGAACTGTTGATGGAGGCGATTTCATTTTTGTCCAATGGCAAGCCAGATTTGGCTCGAGCAGAGGCGGACCCATTGTTCAAACTCCTGAAGTTCACCGGAGATACTGACCAAATGGATCAGGTATGGGTTTCGTGGACCACTGGTATGTTGACCGTGCTGGAACTTCTCGAAGTAGTGAAGTTTTATGAGATTTCGCTCACGGAGGTGGAAGAATGGGTCAATGACCTGAGGATATGGTACGAGCGAGCCAATTTGGGAGAAGAAAAGGATTCCAAAAGAGGCAAAAAGAGGTCCCTAGAAAGGGAGTCCAGCAAGGATATTCCTGCCGAAAAAGAAGTGGTTGAGACTTCGGAGACGGAGGTTGCCGTTGAGGAGGAGAAGAAAAAGGCAAAAAAGAAGAGGAAAGCTGCAGCTATCGAAGATCCTTACACTCTCATGGTTCCAAAGCCGAAGAAGATGCCGGCGATCATTGAGAAGGTTCCAATGTGGTGGTTTCTGCAGTGGAAAAAGCCTCGAAAGTGCGCACAAAGTCAAATGTCGGTGGAAAGACAAAGAAGAAGGAGAAAAGTCAGAGTCCCAAAAAAGAAGAGGTGGTAATGGTGCAAGATCCTGAGGAAAAGGATCGTCCATCTGATGCGGATGCACCAGGGTCTGCCACTGCGAATGCAGAGCTGGGTCAATCTTGCCAGGCGATTGAGGACGCAAAGAGAGAAGGATTGGTATCCTCAATTCAAAGGGGCGTACAGGATCCTGTTCTTACAGTTTCGGACCTGGAGTATATTCTGCTGCAACTTCACCTCAAGATTGCCAACAATCGGAAAAAGAAGTGATTGGATGGTGCGGATGAAGGGATGGTTTTTCTCTTTCTGGAGACAGGTGCGCTGGAACAGCCAATGCGCTGACAAATGTGGTGGTTACTATTAAGGGTATGGAAATCCCTGATAGTAGAAGTCAGTAGCTTTTCGCGTAGCGAAGACCACGGTTTGTGGTGAAGAAGGCCAAGGAGTCTTCAGTGATGAGAGGATCATGGTGAAAAAAGATTCTCTATGGTTAGTGAATTTAGCCAATGTGCTATAATTTCGTCCTGGTAGACGTTAAACCATAACATGCATTTCAAGCAGCTGGCTGCTGCCTTAATGGCAGTTTTTGGCCAAAATATCTGCACCTCCAAGGTGTCCTAGGAAATCCTAGGACAGGGGGAGTGCGGAGCTGCAATTGGTATTGTAGAAAGGAGTTCGTGTTGGGGTTGGATGGGTCAATGAACCCGGAAATCATATTTGGCTCAAGATGGCCGAGAGCCGTCAGCTTTTGTTGAAAAAGTACGTACGCTTGGGGTTGGGTTTAACGGGTTGGAGTTTTCCCGTTCCTTCTCCCTTATCTTGTCCCCTTAGGGTTGGGTGTTCTTGTTTCTGGTTCGATCTGGGAAATCTATATAGGCGACTGTTGAGGGTTGGTTTCTTTCCCTGTTCCCTTTCGGTTGCCCCCGTATAGGGTTTAGGGTTTAGGGTTTAGGGTTTAGGGAGAAGCCCCAAATTAAGGGCTTTCTATTTTCGGGGATCTTACGAAGCAGCACCGGACCTCGCCTAAGTTTTGGGCTTACAGCAACGATCTCCAGAAACTAAAACAAATCACTTCCACTGAAGGCTGCAAGCACAAGATGAGGGAAAGACATTCTGAGTTCCAGTGGCTCTGAAGCAGAAACCCCTGCGCCAGCCCGCTCTTTCAACGTGGCACTCATGGTCAACACCGTACGCAACAAGGGACAAACACCCCTACACAAAAGATGGAAGCGCTCCCAGCTACCCCCAAATCCCGAGCTTCAATACCACAGTACGCCCTGCAGACAGGGTGGGAATTGCGCTTTGGGGTTGAGGATTGGGGTCTTGCTGAGGGTTTGGGATGGAGTTCCCCGAAACCCTAAACACTGAACCCTATAGACCCTAAACCCCAAACCTTACTCCTTCAGGGTTTAAGCCTTGGGTTGAAATCCAACTCGCGCCGGGAGCGCGTGGCTTCTGAATGTCTGCCTTGGTCCGCGAAAGCTACGGGCAGGCGTCAAATCCAAACCCTGAAGCCCCCCAAAAAACCGAACACCTAAACCCTAAACCCTAAATCCTAAACCCTAAACCCTAAACCCTAAACTCTGACCCCCAAACCGACCCCAAACCATCAATGGGGGCTTGGTCAACACGGGCTGCAGCCTCGGACAAGGACGGCCACTACCATGCCCAGGGCTAACTGCAAGTTGAAGACTCTAGTGAGTGGAAGGGGAAGGGGCGGCACGATTGTCCCTGGACCGAGGGCAATAGCACTGGCACAGAGGGGGCCCGGTCAAAAGAGGTAACACCTTGCAAACCCCGACATTTCAAAAGCTGAAGGCACCCCTGCACACCCTAAAGCGTTAAATTATGTAGCAGGGAGTTTAGGGCTTAGGGCTTCGGGTTTAGGGTTTTATAAGGGCATACTTGAAGGCTCATGGGTACTTATAAGTAGGGTTATAAGTCCCCTAAACAGGGTTATAGACATAGTTCTCCTACTCTTAACCTTGCTTATGAGTGCCCATGAACCTCGAGGAAAAACTTGAACACAACAAAAACACCGGAAGCCGCATGCTTCAACGTGCAACGCACTGCTTGGAGCCCAACCCATAGACATTGGAAGTCGGGCCAACGGAAAGACAAGTTTTGTCGAAACCCCTACACTACAAAGTTCCCACCCAGACAAAGCCAAAATCCACTAGTAGCCCCAAAGACCACCCGCCCCCCCGCCACCCCCCCCCCCCCCCCCCCCCCCCCCCCCCCCCACCAAAAAAAAAACACACACACACACACACACACACACAAAACAACACCAAACCCTCCTAAAGTCCCAACGACAATTTTCTCTGCGATAAGCCTGGCAACCGACGCAAGAAGCATGTTCGCCGGCTTGATGTCCCGATGTATGACGCTCCTCAGCACAAGTTGCTCGCTGGGAGCTGAGGGCGTGAAGGATGATGTGAGGGTTGATTGAAAGGCTCAGGGTTTCTAGGCTGTCTAGGATTGGAGGGGTGAAAGTTTCGAGGGTTCAGAGTTTCTGGGGTTTAGGGTGGCTAGCTAGGGTTGTTAAGAGCACGGGGCTTAGGGTTTGGCAGGCTCACCCGATAATCTCGGGCAAGCTCTTTGTTCTAAGCATCCTTGTCGTATATTTGGAGAACAAGATTTCTGTTCGATGATGGCTCCGTACAGACAAGAGGAGAAGCTTCTTGTCAGGGACTTGGGGGAATGCCAAACAAAGCACAAGCCTAAATTCTAAACCTTAATCTGAACACTGAATTCTAAGGATCTTAAACACTAAGCCCTAAACAAACTAAGCCCTAAAGCTTGCTTCCGTCTGGTAAGCTTCTGGGCAGCGGTGTTTCGAAACCCACAAATCAAGGTTTCTAGACTGCGGCGGATCCTTGCAAGCAGCCCAAGCGCTCTAAGGGCGTAGGGATTTTGTGTAGGCCCAAGACCTATCGCCAACCGTCAAAGCATGAACGCTGAAAGCCCTAAGCCATACACCCACAACCCGAAACCCTGCAGCCTGCCACTGCAAGACTGTCGGACCTACACGCGCACCCCTCCAGCTGCTCACCTAGGCATCTCTGTGAAAAAACAAACCGATGTTCCCGGCAAGCAGTCATTATTGAGCAAACAGTCTCGAATCAATTGCAGCAAAGATCGAGCCGTTTCTATCGAGTTCCATTTACCACGAGCCCCAACCCTTCATCCTACAACCTCAAGACGCCCTCGAGTTGGGGGCAGGGCATGGAGTGCACATAAGCCAGACCATTGAGAGCCTGCCGGGTGGAGGTTATACGGTTAAGTTAGGGTTTCTGGCCAGGGGTTTGGTTTAGGTCTTGGGGTTTGGGGTTTAGACGCATGGTAATTCATAATGAATGGCTCTAAATCTGAAGGCTTTTTACGGTCATCTAAGGCAGGTTTTAGGGATGAGGGCTTTTTGTGGGCAGACTTGCAGGGCTTAGTTCGTCTAGAATGCCGGCTTTGACATGTACGAAGTATGAGTTTGGCGTTGCTGTCCAGCTTGTTGTGGTCCTGAGTGTCAGGCTGGGTTCAGGGCTCGCTCCCAGGGCTAGACGTTAGCTTCGGAAAAAGAGTCCAACTGAGGGCTCAGGGCTTGAGAACATTGTCGTTGGGCGTAGCGGTTGAGTTTTGCGCCCAACAGCCAAGCTGCGTGCGCGACATCTGGCAAAACTCGGGTTCAGTAGTTTAGCCTTCCGCGACTTCTTCGGATTTAGGAAGCCTGGTGTTTGTGGATAGACCTAAACCCTGGAACCCTAAACCCTAAACCCCAATTCTCCAGCGAAAAACTGAAGGGCCCCATGTGCCGGCACAAGCCCCTGGGCAGGCAGCTCACAACCCCTGAGACCCTAAAAAGCACCTCAACCTCTGAAGCCCAAACACCCCAACCCCCCCCCCCCCAACACCTGATGCCCCTCACCCTAAACCCTAAACCCTAAACCCTAAACCCTAAACCCTAAACCCTAAACCCTAAACCCTAAACCCTAAACCCTAAACCCTAAACCCCTAAACCCTAAACCCCAAATAACCCCAAACCCTAAACCCTAAACCCTAAACCCTAAAACCTAAACCCTAAACCCTAAACCCTAAACCCTAAACCCTAAACCCTAAACCCTAAACCCTAAACCTCAACCCTAAACCCTAAGCCCTAACTCCCCAAGCCCCCTGCCTGCTCCACCAGCTCGCGGGCGAGGCTCTCATCCAAGCCAGGATTGGGCTTCGCCTCTAACAGCCAGAAGGTTTTAGGGTTTAGGGTTTGGGGTTTAGGGTTTGGGGTTTGGGGTTTGGGGTTTAGGGTTTAGGGTTTAGGGTTTAGGGTTTAGGGCTTAGGGTTTAGGGTTTAGGGTTTAGGGTTTGAGGGCCCCAGCTCCTCACTGCTTTAGGGCTCTTCAGAGTGTTCTGCTTGTAGGGCTGGAGCTTTAGCTTTGGGGCTGTCAGCGTCTTCGGGTTGAAGGTTCTGGGGTTTAGGCTTTCAGACTTTAGGGTTTAGGGTTTAGGGTTTAGGGTTTAGGGTTTAGGGTTTAGGGTTTAGGGTTTAGGGTTTAGGGTTTAGGGTTTAGGGTTTAGGGTTTGGGCTGCACAGCTTTAGGTCTTCAGGATTCAGGGCAGTAGGGCTTTGGGCTTCGGAGTGGCTATGGGTTTTGTCGAAGGGATCCGTCTTTTGGTCTTCAGAGTTCAGGGGTGTAGTGCACGGGGACCAAGGAAAGGAAAGCCAAATTCCGGCACTGCAACAATCATCCATCGCAAAATGTCAGGGCTTGTGGGGACGTTCTGAGCCCATGGGCAGTCTCATCGATCTCGGTTCGCATCGGGTTTCGGGTCGTGATTTGACGGGTCCTAAATCCTAAACCCGAATGGCCCACAACACCCAATCCGTAGACCCGTCCTCGCCGTCCTCAAAGTGGTCCTGGTGCCGGCAGCTCACCGGGCTTAGCTTTAGGGCGGCCCCCCTCCTCCCCCTCCCAGTCTTGAATACCCCTGATTAGGTTTTAGGGTTTCGGGCTTGGAAGCCCCAAAACCTTTGAGGCAATCCTGGGTGGCCAGGGCCCTTGTAGAGGAAAGCTTCCACGACCAGGGTGTTCGGGGATTCGAGGGTTTGAGGGGCTTTGGGCTTTGGGGCTTTGGGGCTTTGGGGCTTTGGGGCTTTGGGGCTTTGGGGCTTTGGGGCTTTGGGGCTTTGGGGCTTTAGAACTTTCGTGTGTTTGGGCTTTGCGCCATGAATATCATCATGAAGAACCTCAGGTGCCCTGCCTTCGTTGAATTCCGCGTCCCAGCACTAGGGAAGTGTTAGCTCTTTCCGTCTGAAGTTGTTGCGTTCCTGTTGGGGGGTGGGGAGGGAAGACTTCGGATTTGCGGTTCAGGGACACCCCCGAGCCTCCCGAATATCCTTTCATGACCCAAACCCTTCGACCCCGAACCCCCGAATCCAGTCGAGCCCGGCACGCTCAAGCCCTCCGACCTTCCCTCAAACCGTTTTGAAGGTTTAGGGTCTCGGGTTTAGGGTTTCTAAGGTTTATAGGGTCTGTAGGGTGTATAGGGCTTATAGGGCTTATAGGGTTTGTAGGGTTTACAGGGTTCATAGGGTTTGTAGGGTTTGTAGGGCTCATAGGGTTTACAGGGTTTATAGGGTTTAGGGTCTAGCCCTTGAACCCTGAACCTCCAAACCCCGAACCCCCCCCCCTCCACCTGACGGGCTTTCGTGAGCAGCTGCCGGAGGTCTCCACCCGTCGCCGCCTTGCAGGTTGTGCAAAGGGGGAGATGGAGAGGTACAGCACACCCCTAAACCTTAAACCCTAAACCCTAAACCCTAAACCCTGAGGTCTGAGGTCTAAACCCTAAACTGTGAGGTCTAAACCCTAAGCCCTAAAGCCTAGACCCGGAGGGCTCAACCCTACACCCTAAAAACCCTCAAGGCTTTCTTGTTGAGCCAAGGGCACGAAGGGGAGTTCGGCTCATGCGGTTTGGAGAACTTGCGCAGCTGAGGGCTTGCAAAGGTTAGGGCTAGGGAGGGCACCCCTCCAAACCTATACCCTTAGTGAAAGTCGGCTTGCTTCTGTGGCTGTCGGTAGGCCATCGCCCAGTGTGGCTGGCTGCCTTGTTCTCGTACCCTAAGCCCTAAGCTTGACCCTAAGCCCTAAACTCTAAAGCCCGAAATCCTGAGCCCTGAGCCCTGAGCCCTGAGCCCTGAGCCCTGAACCCTGAACCCTGAACCCTGAACCCTGAACCCCAATAATCCCTCAATCGCCAAGCTTGCTGCGGGGGTTTGCTTGGCTAGGGCAGGCTCTTTGAGAGCGTAAGGGTTGCAGCTTTCAAGATAGGGGATTAGGGTTTAGGGCCAAGGCTTGCCCTCGGAATTTCGGATTGATCTACCCCCTGGATCGTTCATCAGGGAGCCTCACAAGGAATCAACCCGAAATAAGAGGCGCACTTCGCGGGCCTGGGGTGGCTGTAATTCCCAGCTGCTGCACGCGGCACCCCAGCAGCCCTACATCCTAAGCCCCCATGGCCCGAGTGAAGCCCTAAGCACGAAGCTGTGACCTTCGACCAACAAGCCGAAGTAAGCCAACGAAACCCTGCCGAAGCTGTTGCTCAAAGGCGCTTTGGGGTCTCCTTCGTTGTCAAAACATGGCTTGGCATGGTCAACTAAACCCTCAGCCCCTAAACCCTGAGCCCCTAAACCCTAAGACCCTACACCCTAAAACAGAACTTCAAGTCCATGCAAGATACTCGGCGCCGGTTGTTCTGGGTGGGTCCCAACACATATCCCTTTTATTGCGTTTAAGGCAAACCCGAGTTAGGGTTTGCCAATTGAGGGTATCAGGTCTTGTTCCGGTTCTGAGTGGCATTTGTACAGAGTTTGGACTCGAGGCTCACGTTTCACAGGTGGACCGCTCCTCCACGACCAGGAGGAAGCTGAACTCTTCCTCAAACCACTCGAAGACCCGGAGGACCTACAGCTCGTTCCCGGACGCGTGCGGCCAAGGTTTAGGGTATTGAGGCTTGGGATTTAACCCCTAAACCCCCGACCCCTCCCCAAACCCGACCCAAACTCGAAACTCCTAAGCCCCCAACTCCCCCCCCCCAAAGCCACAAGGCGTTAGACCCAGGCCTCATTTCGAGGCGTGATGTGGCTGAACCCAAAGCCCTGAATGAACCCTAGCCTAGCAGCCCTAGCCTAACAGCCCTAGCCGCCAGAGTAAAGGACTTAGGGCTCATGCCCACAGGGTGTTGAGGGTTTAGGGTGTGGGGTTGAGGGTTTGCGGCTGAGGCCTTTGAGGGAGTCTTGGAGGGCCAAGGCTGTGGAGTTTAGGCCCCTTATATGCTGCAGGGGCCTTAAATCCAAACTCCCAAAACCTGAAAAAGCCCTAAATCCTAACCCCAAGACCTAAGCCCTAAAGCCTAAACCGTAAACCCCAAGACCTCAGCCCTAAACCCTAAACCCCGAAATCCAAACCCTAAATGAAAACCAAACTCCCCCCCAGAGCCGCCCGGCATTCGGGTGGTCCAGCTTCTTGAGGATCTCAAGCTCCGACTGCACCTGCACAAGAGAATTGTGAAGGGCGCCTTTCAGAGCTTCATGCAGGGTTTTGGGTTCAGGGTTATACTTTGGGGCACCCTGGACCCTTTAGGGTTTAGGGTTTAGGTTTAGGGTTTAGGGTTTAGGGTTTAGGGTTTAGGGTTTAGGGTTTAGGGTTTAGGGTTTAGGGCTTAGGGCTTAGGGCTTAGGGCTTAGGGTTTAGGGTCCTAAACTGTTTGGGGGTTGGGGCGGAGGGCCTCCTCCTCTGGTAGGGTGGTCTCCTCCTGCGCGTGGCATGGTGCAGTTGCCAGGGGCTGCGTCTGGTTGGGAGTGCAACTGTGGGGTGCAGAACTGGCCATCTCCCAAAATAAGGGTACCTCTAATATACCCCCCGAATACTATGATCCTAATTATCGGAACGCCCAAAAGGGTACCCCTATTCATGACCGCTGGACATTGGCTAGGCGAGCCTGTGGTAAAGAAATTCCAACCGCAAGCCCAAAGGGATAAAAAAAATATAAATAAAACATAACACCCCAAACCCCTAAACCCTCAACCCCGGCCCTATAAACCTGAACCCTAAATCGCCCTGGGCTAGCTCGTCCTTGGGGATCCTCTTGCAGACACGGCGAATTTTCGAGACGCCTCGGGTGGGGCCCAAGCTCTGCGAGGTTTAGGAGTGTTTGAGGCAACCCTAAACCCTAGCCCTAAACCCTAAACCCTAAACCCGACCTAAACCCTAGACCCTAAACCCGCCGAGTTTTGGAGGTTTCGGGTTTTGGGGTTTAGTGATTTGAGTTTGTGGTTTAGGGTTTTGGGGCTTAGGGCTGAAAATGTGAACCATAAGACTTTTCTTGTGGCGGATATGGGGCCCTATAAACATGTCCGTGGGGTATATGTAGGGTGATGTAGAGAGTCAAACCCACGGCCTTATGAACCCAAGAAGCCCAACAAGCAGAAAAGTACGTCCCTGCCACGTTTTCATGACACAGAGCGACTGAAGCAGCCGCGCCAACGGGAACGTAAGAATCCCATGGTCTTGTGGGGAACAAAAGGACTCAGAACCCGAAGTAGCAGCCGAAGGGCTCGGCAGCCGCACAGCTAATGTAAGGGCGCCGCCACGGGCGACGCCACGAATGTTGATCTGCTCCTTCTTCCAGTTTTGGAGGGTTGTGGTGGATGCAGCCCTCGCTGACTTTTCGGCGCGAGAACAGCGGTGTGCTGCCGGTAACGCTCATCCGACGGAGCCAAACAGGCTCCAGAAACCCTCATTGGTCTGCCACTGCACAACACTACCAGCTCCATGGAAACCTCTCCGCAAGTTTCTTGCAGGCCTTGGTGGTCTTGAGCACAGTGGACATTGCGCTACAGACAGCAGTTTGCCCTTTACAACTCACCGGACTTCACAAGGTGTAGGAAAGGGGTCCAAAACTCCAAAAAAAAACAAAGAGCACCACTAGGCTTCCCAGAGGCAGAGCAACCGGCAAAACCACCCAAGGCTGATTGACAAGGTTTCAGGCTTTTGGGTGGTTGGGAGATTGAAGAGCCTGAAGGTTTAAGGTTTAGGTTTAGGGGTTTACGGTTTAAGGGCTTCGGGTTTAGGGCTTAGGGTTTAGGGTTTAGGGCTTAGGCCTTGGGGTTCAGGGGGGCTGAACAGCTCTTGCCGGCCAGGGGCGGTGGGAGACCCAGAAGCACTCGCCAAACGAGCCCTACCCAAGGACTGGGGCGAAGCTTTTCGGATTTAGGGTTTAGGGTTTTGGGTGACGTGGGCTACAAAGGACTTCGGGCCCATAGAACTTCAAAGTTGTTCCAAATCAAGCGGGCAGGAGGTTAGCAGAAAAACACGAAACCGCTGTAGGGTTTGGAATTTGGGGTTTAGGGTTTAGGGTTTGGAGTTTGGGGTTTCGGAATTTCGGGCTTAAAAGGGTGCATAGCTGCGTCTCACGCACCAGCTTATCTTTCGACCATCCCCGAAAGATCTTACATGACCGAGGCTCTGTAACGCACAGCACGACAAAAACAAACAAAACCATCGTCCGGAACCGGCTATACACCCCCATCGAGCGATTCATCGAACCCCAAACATCGTCCAAAGGGCGCACAAGGTTCCCAAGTAGCCGGGGCAGGTTGAACTGATGTTTCTATACTCCCCTTAGAACCTTAATAAAAAAAAATGATTTTAAATACCCTCTTGGGCTTTATATAAACAAAATATAAAAATGATTCCCAAGGGGGATGTAGAGTTTTGTTGGGGATCACCATGCCAGTGCAGAAACTGTGGTGGTGGCCAGAGAAGGATGGAGCCCGCACAAGCTCTAGGTCTTTGTTTTACGGGTGGGTTTAGGGTTTAGGGTTTAGGGTTTAGGGCTTAGGGTTTAGGGTTTAGGGTTTAGGGTTTAAGGTTTAGTGTTTAGTGTTTAGGGTTTAGGGTTTAGGGTTTAGGGTTTAGGGTTTAGGGTTTAGGGTTTAGGGTTTAGGGTTTAGGGTTTAGGGTTTAAGGTTTAGGGTTTAGGGTTTAGGGTTTAGGGTTTAGGGTTTAGGGTTAGGGTTTAGGGTTAAGGGTTAAGGGTGTTAGAGGGTTAAGGGTTAGAGGGGGGGGGGTGGGCGGGGGGTGTCAAAATTGCCAAAGGGCTTTAAGGCCTTGTTAGGGGCTTCAGCATGGGCCTTTCCCCGACAAGCCACCACAGGCAGAACCGATGCGACATCTTGTGTATGACGTTGTAGTGCGGACCACACAAATTCCCAAACCCCTAAACCCATAAACAGAGCCGAAAATAAGCCCTCACTCCTCAAGCCCACAACCCCAAGCAAGCAACTGCGGGAGCCTTGCCGCAAGAGTCCATCATGGAATACTCCTGCTACTATTTCTTAACAGCCCGTATAAGAATATGGAGTTCTTAAGCTAATCGTAGCAAAGGTTAAGGGTTTAGCATCCAGGGTGCCGGGTGTCAAGGGCGGCCTTACTTTTCTCGCAGGTCCTTTTAACAAGGGATCCCATCTTCACGGCTGTCTTTCAGGGGCCTCTGGTTTGGAATGTCAAACGCTGAGCCCCAACTCCCCAAGGGGAGCCCAAGAATCGGAACCATCAGCGGCCCCCCACATCAAGCCCCTTTCCAAACCCCTCTCTCAACCCCTTCAAGCCCCAAACCCCCCTGAGCTGGAACCCACAGTGTGAAGAAGGCTGCCAGTCGGGTACACTTGCGGGTTTGGGGTTTAGGGTTTGGGGTTTGGGGCTTAGGGGCTTAGGGGTTAGGGTGTGGGCGGTGTGGGCTGGGCTTGAGTCAGAGGCTTTGCCAGAAGGCTTCGGCCCCAGCGTTGCCCCCGGCTTTGGTCTACTAGAACCTGAATCTTAAGCCTTGAAGCCTACAACCCCGCAGGGCTTCTGAAGCAACCCGAAGCCCTTGATTCGCCATCATCTTGGCCGTCGGCGGTGTCGAACTTCTTATGGTTCTGCGTGATGAACTGGTCCCTGCTCACCTGCGGTGTGGAGTTTGGGGGGCTTAAGGAAGTCGTTTTTCGGGCTGAGAGTTGAGGGTTTCGGTTTAAGGCGTAGGGCTTTGGGGCTTAGGCCTTCGAGGTGTAGGGATTTCACGCTTAAGGCTTCTGGTCTCGGGTCCGACAGACAATTTTTGGGACAGTTAACTACAAGCACATCCTCAGAGGTCTTGTGCAGCTTCGTTGGGTAGGGTCTAGGGCTCTAAGCCCAAAGAAAAACTAAAGCCTCTGTCAACCCTCGGGCCCCCCCCCCGCCCCCCAGGCGACTCGAGTGGCCTTGCTTGTGGAGTACTTGTCGCGCACCCTGCGCAAGACTTTGAGCAGCACGGCCTGACGTCAAGTCTTAGCAGTTTCGGGTTTAGGGTTTGGGGTTTGGGGTTTGGGGTTTAGGGTTTAGGGTTTAGGGTTTAGGGTTTAGGGTTTAGGGTTTAGGGTTTAGGGTTTAGGATTTAGGGCTTCCCTGCACCTTCTTTAAGGCTGCCATCTCGGGCCTCTAAGGCCACCCCGGGCCACGTGAGGATGCACCACCCCGACCCCAAAGCACAGCTTCGGGTTAGGGTTTAGGGTTTAGGGTTTAGGGTTTAGGGTTTAGGGTTTAGGGTTTAGGGTTTAGGGTTTGTTAAGAGCCAGATCCTACAAAGCAGCACACAAAGGTCGTAAACACCCCCAAAAACCCCAAACCCTCAAGTAAAGACCCAATACCCTCGAAGCACCCTCTGCATGGGGTTCTCAAGGGAGGAGGATTCATGGCAAAAATCTCTAATACCCCCCTCTACTCTCGAAGGCTCCCTGAGCTTCCCTAAGCTTCCCTCAGTGCCTACCCCCCATGAACCCTCCCTCTTTAAGGACCCTGTAACCTCTGCGAGGTCTGCTGGGCCTCCACATCTTTGAGCGTGATGTACTCGGGGAGCACCTTCGGGGAAGGAGCCGTGGCATTAAAAACCCCTAAGCCCTAAGCCCTTAACCAGGTTTGAGGGCTTAGGGTCTCGGGTCTGAAATTAGTTGTTTCAAGGTAAAACCCTAAACCCTAAACCCTAAACCCTAAACCCTGAATCAGGATTCTAGGGCTTGACTGATTTAGGGCCGGGACAGAAGACAGGACCGGGAATCATTTTCAAGGCTCATGCCGAAGGGTTTAGGGTTTAGGGTTTAGGGTTTAGGGTTTAGGGTTTAGGGTTTAGAGTTTAGGGTTTAGGGCTTAGAATTTGGGTTTAGGGTTTAGGGTCCCTGAACATCTGGTCCGTTACCTCTTCTAAACGGTTTCTGACATATGGGCCGGTGGGTTTTAGAGGCGGGTGATTGTCAGAAAGGGCATCCCATGAAAGGCCCATTCTGAGGGACCATGTAACGGGAGCCCTAAAATTCCGTATAGTCGGGCCTTTTGCCGCATTGCGCGCCCAGGACACTCTACGGACTGCTGGGGGGGGTCTTTGGGGCATCAGGATTTACAGGGTTAAGGCTTTGGGTTAGACCCTAAAACCCGAAACCCGAAACCCAAATCCCGAAACCCTAAACCCTAAACCCTAAACCCTAAACCCGAAACCCTAAACCCGAAATCCTACATTTGAGGGCTTATGGGCTTTCCGAGACCTTGTGCTCAAAGTACGCTTCCTCCGCGCAGGGCAGGAGGGTTTCTCGAGGTCCCAGGAGAGATCATAGAATCCGGTGTGTTCGGGTTTAGGGTTTAGGCTTAGGGTTTAGTGGGTTTGGGGTTTGGGGTTTAGGGTTTAGGGTTTGGGTTTGTAGGGTTAAGGGTTTATAGGATTTAGGGCTTACAGGGTTTAGGGTTCTACCGTTCACGGCATATAAGAATTTAAGCCTTTCTTTCTAACAAGACTGCCAAGAGAAGGGCTGATTGAGCAAAAAAAAAAAAAGCCCCCCCTTCCCAGGGCTCAGGGATGTGGGCTTAGGGTATCGGGCTTTTCGTGCATAGGGGTTTAGGGTTAAGGCAAGGGGCGTTTGGTTAGTGGGGGAATTGGGGAAGCAGGGCCCCCTGCCCTTAAAAGTGAGAAGATACCCAATCCCCTCCCTCAAACTGAGCCTAAAACCCTAAACCTGCTTGATCCCACGTAGATCCCGAAACCCCTAAACCCCTAAACCCCTAAACCCCTAAACCCCTAAACCCCTAAACCCCTAAACCCCTAAACCCCTAAACCCCTAAACCCCTAAACCCTAAACCCGAGATCCCTAGACCCTGAACCCTAAACCCCAGATCCCTAAAGTCCTGCTTCCGAAGTTGGGCCCAGAAGATGGAGATCTGGTCCTCGCAACGAGGGCGGGGACTGGAGACTCGGAGTTCAGGGGGGACTTAGGGTTTGTGGCCTTGGATGGGGGGGGGGGTTTAGGGTTTAGGGTTTCAGGTTTAGGGTTTAGGGTTTGTGGCCTTGGGGGGGGGGGGGGGGGATATCTTTTAGGGATTTGCATTTTCGGGTTTGGGCTGAAAGGACAAGATTTTGGGGAGAGCATTTCGTGGCTGAGCTTCATGAAGCCACTGTTCTTCAACTCTCAGACCCAAAACGCTCAAAGCCGGCAGAGGGTTTGCCTGGGAATTCTCATGACAAGGACATGATGTGACAGTAGAAGCGGCAACGGGCTCGAACTCCGGCTTGCTTAAGCATACGGATGCTCCTGGGGTTTTAAGGTTGAGGTTTTGGGTTTGTTTAGGGTTTAGGGTTTAGGGTTTCTAGGGTTTAGGGTTTAGGGTTTAGGTTGAGGGCTGCGAGGGGTGAGCTTACGAACGTGGGTTGGGGGTTGAAGGTCACATGCAGCCCAGCGTCCTCCGGTATGCCCCAGTGCGCCAGGAGACTCAGCTGCTTCAAGCTTCCAAAGCAAAACAAGCGCCTTCATGTCCTTCCCTTGCCGAAAAACCAAAGACTCCGCCTCCTGTCCAAGGCAACCCGTGAACCGGACGCCTAAAATCCTCAACCCTGAACCCTTCGACCCTGTGAACCCTTCAGGCCGCTGTGGACTAACTGTTTGGAGGGTGAAGGGGGTTGCGCTATCCCTTTCGCGGGATCCTTTTCAAGGGGACGCCCCAAGGCCGCCCGTGAAACTCAAAAGCAAGAAGCTGCAAAACACGTTACCTTAACCCGAAGCCCCCCGAACCTCTGCATCCTGGACACCAAGATGGGAACCCGGCCCGAGTGCAAACGATTTAGGGTTTAGGGTTTAGGGTTTAGGGTTTAGGGTTTAGGGTTTAGGGTTTAGGGTTTAGGGTTTAGGGCTTCAGAAGTTGCCTGCCAAGGGGCTCTGGCACGTGCCTCACATGCAGCACATGCCTGCAGAGGACGCCCGGGCTGCTGACAGTTCGGGCTTTTGGCTCGAGCTTCAGGATCCTGGACTCGCACCAGGGGGGATCACCTAAAGGGTTTAGGGTTTAGGGTTTAAGGGTTTAGGGTTTAGGGTTTAGGGTTTAGGGTTTAGGGTTTAGGGTTTAGGGTTTAGGGTTTAGGGTTTAGGGTTTAGGGTTTAGGGTTTAGGGTTTAGGGTTTAGGGTTTAGGGTTTAGGGTTTAGGGTGGTTTAGGGTTTAGGGTTTAGGGTTTAGGGTTTAGGGTTTAGGGTTTAGGGTTTAGGGTTTAGGGTTTAGGGTTTAGGGTTTAGGGTTTAGGGCTAACCCTAAGCCCAAGAATCCAGAAATGAAATCCCCTACCCCGTCCAAACTCGACAGTGCCGAAACCAGGCCAACTAGGCTCCCAGCAACCTCGCTGCAATAAAGGAGGTGTCCGTTTTTTGCTTTTTAGGGTTTGGGGTGTAGGCTTTAGGGCTTAGGGTACTTTAGGGTTCAGAGCATTCTCAGGTCCGTGCCTTCATTAGTCAAGCTCGCAACTCCGGCATCGAAGATCTACCCACCCACCCTTTGGATCCCATGACGTTAAGAAACTATTCTCGTTATAAGCAACCCGAAACCTTGACCACCTTTAAGGACTGAACCCTCAGCCCTACGTGAATGTAGGAACCCTAAAACCTTCGGGCTTGAACCCTGAACCCTAGATCCCGGAACCCCCAAAAACGGTGGGGCTTGAACCCTACACCTTGAAAAACTCACGTCAGGGGATGCCACGAATTTTGGCAGCCGTCAGGGGAGGTCTGCTCACGAGTTTCGGCAAATGTGCTGGTCGTCAAGAAAGGGCCTAATTTTCGCAAATTTGCTGGCGGCGGGCGTTCGCGGGGGGTGGGGTTTCGGGGGGCGAGGGGCTTCGGGCAGGGGTCTAGGCAAAACTTGACCCCGACTTGGGCCACGAAGGTTTACGTACCTCTTGAAATAGAAGGGTTTAGGGTTCGGGGGTTCATAAGGAAACCTAACCCTTCAAACAAAGGGCACACGGCACCAAAGGAAGCAAAAACCAACGCCCTAAACCCTGAACCCTACACCCAAATAGGGTTTAGGGTTGAGGGTTTCGGGTTTGGGGTTTGGGGTTTAGGGTTTGGGGTTCCGAAATTAGGGGTACCTTTTTGGGGTCCTTATTAGAAAGGAATCCTACTATTTGGGGGTCAAAACTGGGGTCCCCCTACTTTTCGTAGACTCCCTTCTAAGCCCGATTACACCCTATACACCTTGTGTAAGACCTTCCAAAGCCCCGCAGACTCAGACCCTACAAACCCTCTACACCCTGTAAGCCATTGAAACCCTAAAAACCCGATCAGCGCCAAGCTCATAAACCCCTAAACCCTAAACCCTAAACCCTAAACCCTAAACCCTAAACCCTAAACCCTAAACCCTAAACCTAAACCCTAAACCCTAAACCCGATACTGGGACAAAGGGAAGCTTTGGCCGGGCCACACGTCGTCGAAGCCATGGGGCTCTGCGAGTTTCTCGAACATCAGGGCGATGGCCTTTGAGGGTTAGGGCTTGGGGGTCCGGGGTGGGTTTATCAGGGTTTGGGGTTTAGGGTTCAGGGTTCAGGGTTTAGGGTTTAGGGTTTAGGGTTTAGGGTTTAGGGTTTAGGGTTTAGGGTTCAGGGTTTAGGGTTGGGTTTAGGGTTTCGGGCTTCAGGCTTGGGGTCTTATGGCTTTCGGGGGCCATTCTGAGGGCAGCTGCATGGTCCCTTAACATGGTCCCCTTACCCTAAACCCTAAACCCTAAACCCTAAACCCTAAACCCTAAACCCTAAACCCTAAACCCTAAACCTGGGCAGAGCCATTTGCGGGTTGCTTGAACTGGCTTCGGGTCGAGGGGCTCGGCGGTGGGGGATTCGGGGCTTAAAATAGTTCTTCCTTCTAAACTTGTCAAACTCTTCCCCCTGACCTTTTGACTTTTCGAACGTTTCATTAATTCCGACCCCAATTATTCTCAACTCTTTCTACCAAGGAATGACTGTAGGCTTAGGGATTAGGGTTTAGGGTGTAGTGTTTAGGGCTTAGGGTCTAGGGTTTAGGGTTTTGGGCTTTGGGTTTAGGGTTTAGGGTTTAGGGTTTAGGGTTTAGGGTTTAGGGTTTAGGGTTTAGGGTTTAGGGTTTAGGGTTTAGGGTTTAGGGTTTAGGGTTTAGGGTTTAGGGTTTAGGGTTTAGGGTTTAGGGTTTAGGGCTTGAAGATCCTCAAGCCCTAAAACCCCGCCTTGACGCACTCGGGGGGGATTGTTTGGGGTTTCACGTTAAAGGTCGCGATGTTGGGATGTCTGATATGGAACGACGAAAACCCAGCAAAGAGAACCCAAACTCGAAAGTCTGAACAACTAAAAAATGCCCTACAGGTAGAGCCTAAAGCCCCGAAAACCCTGAACTGAGCCGTTCTTGGCCGAGAGTCAATAAGGGATTGGGAGCCTAGAACTCCTCATGACATGGTCCAGGGTAGGGGTTTTGGTCTTGGGTCTGGGGGCTTCGGGGCTTTTGGGCTTTGAGGGGTTCAGGGGCTTGTGGGCTTTAGGGTTTAGGGTTTAGGGTTTAGGGTTTAGGGTTTAGGGTTTAGGGTTTAGGGTTTAGGGTTTATGAGTTCAGGGGCTTGGGGGTTGAGTTAGCTGGGCTCTCAAGTGCAAGAGCACACAAAAAGGCCCATAGTTTACTTCCCCTAAACCCTAAACCCTAAACCCTAAACCCTGAACCCTAAACCCTAAACCCTAAACCCTGAACCCTCAACCCTAAACCCTAAACCCTAGGCCCTTACTTCTCCTAAAATACGCCCCCCACGCTGCAAGATCTCCAGGAACCCCCAACCCACCCTCTCCGCGCCTTCTGAAACGTCTCCGGGAAGGCAAGGGTCAGAGCCTCCACACTACCCGGGTTTAGGGTTAGGGTTTAGGGTTTAGGGTTTAGGGTTTAGGGTTTAGGGTTTAGGGTTTAGGGTTTAGGGTTTAGGGTTTAGGGTTTAGGGTTTAGGGTTTAGGGTTTAGGGTTTAGGGTGTAGGGTTAGGGTTTAGGGTTTAGGGTTTAGGGTTTAGGGTTTAGGGTTTAGGGTTTAGGGTTTAGGGTTTAGGGTTTAGGGTTTAGGGTTTAGGGTTTAGGGTTTAGGGTTTAGGGTTTAGGGTTTAGGGTTTAGGGTTTAGAGTTGAGGACTCAGGCTACCTGAGGTCCTTCTGGTGTGCCAGGGTTTCGGGGAGTTCCGGCCTTGGGATTCTGGCGCTTCACGGCCTGATATTGTTGCAGGGTTTAGGGTTTAGGGTTTCGGGTTTCGGGTTTAGGTTTTAGGGTTTAGGGTTCGGGGTTTGGGGTTTAGGGGACGTAAGGGATTTGGCTGTTTTTTGGCCATTGCGCCTGGGGCTTGCCAGCACGTGTAGGGTTCATGGTATGGGGGCTCTAGACGTTTCAGGCTTTAGTGCCGACAAACCCTAAACCCTAAACCAAAAACCCTAAACCCTAAACCCTAAACCCTAAACCCTAAACCCTAAACCGCCTAAACCCTAAACCGCCTAAACCCTAAACCCTAAACCCTAAACCCTAAACCCTAAACCCTAAACCCTAAACCCTAGCCCTGAACCCTAAACCCAAGACGCGCGGCTCGCCGACTTGGAGGCTGTCGAAAGCCGGACCCTCAATCCTCAAACCTAAACCCTAAATCCTTGGACTCTAGCTCCTTAAACCCCACACCCTAAACCCTAAACCCTAAACCAACCCGAAACCCGAAACCCAAAACCCTAAACCCTAGACCCTACCTAAAACACCCTCAACTGCACATATTTCGGGGTTTGGGGGGGGAGGGTTTAGGGTTACCCTAAACCCCATTTGGGTTTAGGGTTTAGGGATGAGGGTTCTGGGTTTCGGGTTCAGGGTCCAGGGTGAAGGGCTTAGTGTTTAGAGATGATCTGAGCCCCCAGCAATCCGCCGCACGAGGGCCACAACATCCACATCTGCAGGCAAGCCGGCATCAGCGATGGCCTGAGAATGTCTGTGCTGCCGTGAGTTTCGGGTTGAGGGTTGAGGGTTGAGGGTTTAGGGTGTAGGACCTGGAGGAACTTACTAAACCGGAGAATGGATGTGCAGTGAATACGACTTCCATACGATTTCAACTTTCTCAAGTTCCTGAACAACTCAGCAGATACTGCGTACAGCAAGGTTCATACGCATTACGAGGGTTGGGGTGCTGAGGTCGGGGAGTACGGGCTGCTTCGCTTGGAGGCTTTGAGGGCCTCTCCGGGGAAAGGGTGACCCTATTTTGGACAACCCCCAAATGACTCCTGCAGGAATTTTGGAGCTTATCCAACAGCCCCGGTGTTCCAACGGCCATGCATCAGGAAGCGGCTGCTTCTTCGTACACGCTCCTTACACCCCTAAGCCATAACCCCCATACCCCTAAAGCCCTAACTCCCTAACCTCCTGAACCCTCTAAACCCGAAACATCAAACCTTTACCCTCACGACGCCCCTTCACCCCCTCTCGAATGCTTCGACATTGAAAGCCGGGGCCCAGCCCTAAACCCTCAACCCTCAACCCTAAATCCTAAACCCTAAACCCTAAACCCTAAACCCCGGCCTGCGCTCGAGCCAGTCCACGGATGCCCTGCGCGAAGGAGCGGAAGGCACGGGGCGTGGTCCTGGGCATCGGAGCTGAGGGTTTAGGGTTTAGGGGTAGGGTTTAGGGTTTAGGGTTTAGCGTTTAGGGTTTAGGGTTCGGGCTTTAGGGTTCAGGGGCTTGAGGGCTCAGGGTCTTAGGGGCTCAGGGTTAAGAGGCTAGGGGCTTCGGGGGGGTGCAAAGGGTTTAGAGGTTCGGGGCTTCGGGTTTAGGGGATTAGGTGCGCTTTCATATAATCAGCTTTGATAATACGAAACCCTAAACCCTAAACCCGAAACCCTAAACCCCAATGGAACAGAACATACTACCCAAATTAGGTCGTCTCATGTGTGGGAGTCTTCGTGGGAAGTCAAGCAACTCAGGGGCCGAGGTCTTCAATCCAGCTCCGAAGAATTTGGTCTTAGGGCTTAGGGTTTAGAGTTTTGGGTTTTGGGTTGTGGGTTTGGGTTTTGGGTTTTGGGTTTCGGGTGTTGGGAGTAGGGCTAAGCTAAGGGATAAGGGCTAAGTTCATGTCGGGGCACTTGCAATTGGATTTCGGCTCTCATGACCCGGACATGCATGCGAGATCCTCAATCTCACAGCGAGATGCAAAAGAGCATCTAAGAGAAGCATCCCCGTCACTACAGCACGCGCGCAAAATCACTCAGATGGTGGAACTCCGTGTGCAAGGCAGATGTAAGGGTAGCTACACGGTCCCTTAGTATGGGCCCTTCAAAGGGGACCCCTTATATGCCCCCTTAATTTTAGACCCTGTAAACCCCAGGGGAGGTAAGGGACCACAATAAGGGCCCATGTAACTACCCTTGGAACAAAGCTGGCACGGCAGGGCTTGGACCGGGAATGGAAAAGGTGGAGCCAGCTTGATGGGCCTTTGGCCATATTGGAACCTTGCAGGTTCCCTAGCGTTTAGGGTTTAGGGTTGAGGGATCATTACGGATTAGGGTTTAGGGTTTAGGGCCATCATGAAAACTGAAGAGCATGTCATTGCAATACTTCTGCTTACACGCCGGACATGGAAGTGTCAGAAAAAAGTCTGCGAACCATGACAAGGACAACAAAAGCTGAAGATGAAAAGAAGGAACAGAAACAATAGCCATACTACTGTTTAATGATTGCTGTAGCAATAACCATCTAGACCCAAGAGCAACACTAAACCTAAACGCTTTTCGGTTTCAAGGGGCTTATAAGGGGACCTAGACCGTTAACAAGGGGGGAATAAGCGCCTGGTTTAGGGTTTTGGGTTTTGGGTTTCGCGTTTTGGGTTTAGGGTTTCGGGTCTAAGGTTTACAACAGTACTACTACAAACAACAAGATCACGGCGACCCGATCGGGATGCCAAGGGGCTCGAGCTGGCTCCTCGCTCATTTCGGTCCCATACTACATAGGGTTTAGGGTTTAGGGTTTAGGGATTAGGGTTTAGGGTTTAGGGTTTAGGGTTTAGGGTTTAGGGTTCAGGGTTGTGGGTTTGTCGGGTTTCGCGGGAGGGTTCTCCCACGGACAAGCGGGATGCTGTGAGAAGACACAGGCTGCTTCCGTCCTCGTGGCCAGGACGTCTGGGCCTTCTTCCGAGGGCGGTGAAAAACTGCAGATGAGGGTGTACGAAAAAAGGGGGGGACCCCTCAAATAGACCCCGAAATAGTAGGCTTCCTTCTACAAGGACCCTAAGAAGGTACCCCTCATATCGTAAACCCCCGTATTGGCTGCCTAGCGCAAGGCAATGCGAGTCTTTGATCGTTGACGAGCCAGACCTACGGATAAACCCTAAACCCTAAACCCTAAACCCTAAACCCTAAGGGGAAAAAATCAAAGACTCAACCTGCCGCACGGCATTCCAATTGGGCTGGAACGGGGGGGTGGGCCTTGAATCTGAAGTGGGTTTAGGAAACAAGGTTTAGGATTTATGCTTTAGGGCCTAGGGTTTAGGGTTGAGGGTTTAGGGTTTAGGGTTGAGGGTTGAGGGTTTAGGGCTTCGAGTCCCACCATGCGCAACACATCAGAGTCTGGACAATCCCGGTGTGCCGCAAACTTTGCCAGGCCTTAGCCACCCTCCTTTCTGCACACGACTGGCGCGCAAAGAAAGGATTAGCAAGCTGTAGCCAAAAGCCTCCACGTCTTCAACCAGCATGTGCTGATATGTCGCTGGCTTGCGTTTAGGGTTTTCGGGTTGGCTAAATTTAAATGGGTGTAAGGTTTTGTTCACACTGGATGCTGGATGACAAGTGGATTGAATCGCACAGCCAGGTACTTGGGGACCAAATGGGCATTACCCAAAATAGGCGTAGCCCTAACATACCCCAAAATACTACAATCTGCACTATAGGAACCCCCAAAAAGGGTACCCCCATTCTCGGAAACCCCCAAATGAACCTAAAAGTTGGAATCGTACACCCTGCACGATTGCAGCCCCTAAAAGGTATGTGGACCACAAGAAACCTTTCGATTGTTGGGTCTTAAGCCCTGAACCCTAAACCCTAAACCCTAAACCCTAAACCCTTAACCCTAACCCTGTCCCCAAGATACCGGTTGGCGTCGTTGCACCCACCACACCCACTCAGGGGGCTCCACAAGCCTTGATGGCGATGGGAAGGGGACCTGCCTTCCCTTCTCCAGCGCGATCGGCTTCAACCACTCCGGCACAAAAGGATGCAAGATGGGGCTGTCGGTATACTTGGCAAGAAGTTCCCGCAAATTCTTCATCTGTGTGTTTGCGTGCACAACCAGAGCCACAGCTGGCCCAGCGCCAGCTCGGAGAGAAGTCTCCTCCATGCAAGACCCCAGCGAGCAAGGCAGCTGCATGTGGTGGAAGTGGCCGCGGAACGAGAGGGCAGCTGCTGACGTGGTGAAGTTGATGAACGCGTACCCCAAGCAACGACCATCCTTGTGCCGAATGGGGAGGTACAAGAAATCCACCTCCTCAAGGCACCGATGTGTATCCAGGAGATCGCACAACATGCTTCGAGTAAAACTCTTGGGAATGTTGCGCAGCACCATCGAAGTCTGCCCGCACATCTCAGATGAAAAGGCTGGCCCTGTCCCAGAGCTCTGAGGGGGGGGGGTGGGTTCCCCCCCCCCCCCGCAGGGATCGCACACTTGTCGCGTGGATAGGAGGAAGCCCTTTTCCTGGCTCCGTCCGAAGTGGTGAAGTGCAAGAACGTGTTTTTGACGACGAGGTTGACCTCCATCATCTGCCAGGGTTCTTCCATGGCGATAAAAAGTTCACTTGGCCCTGAACTGCGACCGGAGAGAGCGGCGCACTCCGAAGTGTTGCAGCGTATATCTATGTGTGTATATATAGATATATATGCAAACTTAAATCACACATACAACCAATCCATATCTATATATATATACACATATATATATATATATATATTTATGTGTGTGTGTGTGTGTGCAGTTGTTCTTTTGCTGACAAGAAGATCATGCTGACCAGACAAAAGAAAACAACGGCTTGGGCCCTGAGCCATGCCCAGCTTGTGCAGCAGGACACGTCCCCAAACCCTAAACGTCTAGGGGTTTAGGGTTTAGGGTTTAGGCTTTAGGGTTTAGGGTTTAGGGTTTAGGGTTTAGGTTTTAGGGTTTCGGGCTTAGGGTTTAGGATTTAGGGTTTAGGTCCGGGTTTCGGGTTTAGGGTTTAGGGTACCTCGGACCCTTAAGGTTGTGCCCTTGGGTTTCGTGCCGAGAGTGCTTCGTCATTCGGGGACGTGCAAGGACAGCGGCGACAATGCTAGGGTTTAGGGTTTAGGGTTTAGGGTTTAGGGTTTAGGGTTTAGGGTTTAGGGTTTAGGGTTTAGGGTTTAGGGTTTAGGGTTTAGGGTTTAGGGTTTAGGGTTTAGGGTTTAGGGCTTCGGGCTTTGGGTTTAGGGTCGGACGATTTACCGGGTGAAGTGAAGTGCTGCCCACCCGAACCCGACCTCCTCAGTTGTCGGAGGGAACGTTGGGCTGCTCAGGGCTTGTAGGAATGCCCTCCCCCGAAGCTTGCTAAACCCCCTACACCCCAAACCAGAGTTGAGGACAAACATCCTAGTCAAGGGATCTTGGGAGTCTCCGGGTTACTGCTGCAAACCTCACAAAACCCAAGCTGTTCTTTTTTGCGGACGGAGGAACACGTGGAACCTCTTGTAGCTACGAAATATTGGGAACAACTTGGCCCCATATGGGGGTTTACGAAATTAGGGAAGCCTGATGGGGGGTCCTTAATACAACGGAATCCAACTATTTGGGGTCTATACTCGGGGTCCTAATTTTCGCAAACCCCCATATTTTAAGCCCTAAACCCCAAGCCCAAACCCTAAACCCTAACCCTAAACCCTAAACCCTAAACCCCCCTCAACCCTGAGCCAGGAGAGCACGGGCTGCCCGGCAAAGAAGAGTTGGAGGCGGCGCGCGACGCATAGTTGCTCCTGGATTCGGGCTCTGAGCTTGGGATCTTGTGTTTGGGGGGGTTTGGGTTTAGGGTTTAGGGTTTAGGGTTTAGGGTTTAGGGTTTAGGGTTTAGGGTTTAGGGTTTAGGGTTTAGGGTTTAGGGTTTAGGGTTTAGGGTTAGGTTTAGGGTTTAGGGTTTAGGGTTTAGGGTTTAGGGTTTAGGGTTTAGGGTTTAGGGTTTAGGGTTTAGGGTTTAGGGTTTAGGGTTTAGGGTTTAGGGTTTAGGGTTTAGGGTTTAGGGTTTAGGGTTTAGGGTTTAGGGAAAACCCTAAACCCTAAACCCTAAGTCTCTTGAAGATGTCTCTGGGGGATTTACTCTAAGGATCCTCCTACGACTCTCAGCTGGTACGCACTTCGCGTTAATCATGTGTCCCTTGCAGAAGCGTACACCTGAAACACCCCTCAAAACCGGTTGCAGAGCGTATCCAGCGGTCTTAAACATGGCAACACTGAAGCCTTCGAGTTTAGGTTCGAGGGGTTGTGGGGGTTGGAGCTGAGGGCTGGGGAGCCCTAAACCCCAAGCCTTAAACCCCAAATTTAGGTTCTAGGGCTCTCCCGGAGCTTGGGCGGGGGAGGGTCCCGGGAGACCTGTCCGGGTGGTTTTCGCTTGCGAAAAGACTGCAAAAAGGGGTTTTCCCCCGAGGAGGGTGCCAAATTCAAGGGTCCGAGCTCTGAAATCGGCCCAAGGAGCGCAGGATAGCCACTTGCCGACGGCATCTCGTGCGCGGGCGAGGCACCCGCTCCCAGAGGATTCAACCCGCGCGGACGGGAGGAAGGGCCCAGGGCTTAGGGCTCGGGGCTTAGGACTTAGGACTTGGGCCTTAGGACTTAGGGCTTAGGGCTGAGGGCTTAGGGCTTAGGGCTTAGGATTTAGGACTTAGGACTTGAGGACTTAGGGCTTAGGGTGGAGGGTTTAGGGTTGGGGGGTTTGGGGCGCGGGCAATATGCCCAAGCTTTGGTCTAAACGAACCGGCGGGGGACGCTTGAAAGGACGTGGTGGGGACGGGCTATTGAGCTTGGAGTTGGAAGGTTTAGGGTTTAGAGTTTAGGGTCGAGGGTTTAGGGTTTAGGGTTTAGGGCTTAGAGTCTAGAGTCTATAGGGTCTAGAATCTAGGGCTTGGGGTTTAGAGCTATGTAAGGCTGAGGGTTGAGTTGATGGTGGGGCATGCCCTGCTGCAAGCCGGATACCCAAGACCTTCTGGCTCCACGCTCCAAAACCCCAGGGATGAGGATTTGGGGTTTAGGGTTCAGGTCCCAGAAAATAGGGAAGCCCTAAACATCGTATTCCCTTGTGGTCCCTTGAAAAAATTGACTGCAATAACCCCCCCCAAACCCAAAGAGAACCTCGCGAACTTACCCGGCGCCTCCCAAAAAAACCTGGTTGCCAAGATGATTTTTTGCGCCGGTTTAGGGCTTAGGGCTTATGGTTTAGGGCTTAGGGCTTAGGGCCTACTATTGATCGCGCCCAAGCATCCTCTGTTGAAGCTACACACTCCAACCAATCTCGTCAGCATCCCTGCATCAACGCACGAGTTGCTTCGTGGCTCTGGCGACGAAGTCAGCACACAGCAGCGCATCCTAAACTAAGCTGTGTTCTCTCAAGCAAGTAGTTTCTATGGGGTTTCTAAACCAGCTTTTGACGAAGGTGCTACGCCCTCCAGCAACACCTAACGCTCACCCAGCCGAAGCGACCAGGAAAGAAAAGGCGCGTCGCTAGGGTCATTCGTTATATCTGGGGCTACAAGTAGAGCTTTGGATTTTGGATTTAAGGTGTAGGTAGGAAAGCCAACTATACTTACAGCGAGTTACCGCATGAACCTCCAAGCAAAGCCCCTCCGCCAGCTTTTGAGTTGAGCCCGGTAGACCCTAAACTGGTGGGCTTCTAAAAGCAGGGTCCAGGGCTTCGGCTTAAGGTTCCGGATTGAGGGCGTAGGCTTTCGGAGACCTTTTAGCGGGTGGGGGTGAACAATGCGTTATGGCATAGGCTGTAAAGGGCAAAGACAGTAAAACATCCTCTCCCGAACCCGAATTTCGGATAACTGACTACGACGCCCTGCCCTAATTGAGGTAGAAAAGCCCGGCCCCAAGAGACCTTGATCAGGGTTAATGGCAGCTTCAGGCTTGTGTCTTTCTCTTGCCGTGTGTGATATATGTATGTATGTATGTATGTATGTATGTATGCATGCATGTATGTATGTATGTGGGTATGTATGTATGTATGTATGTATGTATGTATGTATGTATGTATTTATGTATGTATGTATGTAATTATATACGTATCTATGCACGTGCTCCTTAACTAGGGGATTATGTAGGGTACCTCATTCTCACATGCCCCACTACACACCAGGAAGTACGCCCCGTTTCTCTCGTCCAAGCACACAGAGGTCGTGGCCTGGGGTGGCATGTCGCCGCGCCTGCTCGTGAGTGCGGCAAGGCCAGGGGAGCACTCTTCAAGCTGTCAGAGGCAGCTTGAAGATCCCAAAATGTTCATTCTCTCTTCTTCTCACCGGGCCGGCTTGCAAGCATTCTGGCACATTGTTGAAGGGAGGCGCGGTGATGTCAATGGGCCGGAATTGGCCTGCCCGGATATCTTTGCCGTTCGCTCCGGCGGTGTCAACATCGTTCACGAGCCAGGTTCCTGCCAGGTTGAAGTTGCCGAGAATGGCGTGGACGAGCTCCATGGCATTGTGCTGAAGAGCATCTCGGCAGTTGATTACATCAAAGTGCTTTGCAGGGAAGGTCCGTCCGAGGATCCCTGCCTCCGCGAGGTTGAGCGTTTTGAAGGGCTCGATGGTGACAGTCGGCACAGATGCTTGGGCGGAAGCTCTCTTGCCCTCAGCGATGCCGGTGGCCACGTCGGAAACGTCAACTCCCTGGTAGTTGAGCCTGGCACCAGCTGGAAGCCGAGAAGCGATTCGCGAGAGACACCCGGGCATCCAGAAGAAGTCACCGCTTGGAGCATCCAGGAAATTGAGCTCGTACTCGGTCATTCCTGCTGCCTCCTTCTCCTTTGAAGCTTTGAGCAAGGCCTCAAAGATCACGGAGCAGAGAGTTTCGGTTGCTCGGCCGATGTTGCTTCCGGGCCCTGATCTAGAGCGAGTAACTCCATCGCCGCCCCAAAGATGCTTGGTGTAAATCTTGTCAAACGCATCCTGGACAGGTTCTTGCAGCAAGGACACCGGACCTGTGCATGGAGGCAGAGAGTTCAAAGCGTTTACAGCGTTCAGCGCGGGCTTGACGACGATGGCCCCCGCACACCACCAGAGAGTCCCGAGGCACAGAAGCCACATGGCTTGACAGGATAGGACAATAGTAGAAGATGTTAAAGCGTTCTCGAATACAAAGGCTTCGAAGATCTGGAGCCGCGAGACGGGGCATCTGGGTAGGATGCAACAAGGAGCGCCGCCTTTAGGGCCTGAAGGTTGAGTTTGTGAGGGGTTTGGTTTGGGGTTTAGGGTTTAGAGTTTGGGGTTTAGGGTTTAGGGTTTAGGGCTTAGGGCTTAGGGTTTAGGGTTTAGGGTTTAGGCCAGTAGGGTTTCGGGCTCTTCACGGTGTGCTGGGTGTCGGAGGGGTCCACCGTCAGGACCTTTCCGAAATCTTTAAGATTCAACAGTGCACAGCCCCAAATCTCCAAGGCCGCAACCCTACCTAATCCCTCAAACACCCTAAACCCTCAACCCTAGACCCTAAACCGCTTAAACCCTAAAGCCCGAAACAGTACCGAAGCCCTCAATACCTCAAAGGCCTGAACACCCAGGCAGACAAGACCCGACAACTACACAAAATGCGCTAGCAAGAAGAGCTGACAGAGTTGCAGGAGGACAAGGCTACCAGCATAAACTTGGCAACAACACCGAAGAGTAGGGTACTCCAAGTCTACCGATGAGTCGAAAAGTCTGCTGTTCACACGCATGTTTTGGCCGCTTCATGTGGCTCTCATCCGCCGCTCAGCGTCCACACCTGCTGTTGGGTCTAAGGCCGATGGCTTTAGGGAGTCCACCAGGCGCTTGGGCTTCTTGAAGGATACAAGGTGTTTAAGAGTTGCAGAAGAAGGGTTTTAGAGGTTTAACGGGCTGTTGGGGTTGTTGTGTCTGGCGACTACGTACAGTTGGCAAAGGCATTGTGCACAGGCTTCCATTTCCTTCGAGAATTTCTCATGGGATACTGGGGGGGGATCCAGTCTCCTGTCAGCACAAGGATCCGATAGGGCTTGGTGGCTCTACGTCCGCAGTGCCCTAAGGGGACGACATGCCTTCAGGTTCACACATGCCCGTTGAAAGGAAAAAGTGTAATGTTGTTAGCACTGAGGGTTCAGGGCCTGCAAACCCAGCCTCGAAACCCAAAGCCCCTCACAAAGCCGAACACCCAAATACAGGAGCCGAAATTTGGGCAGAGTGCCGTGTCTTTGGGGGTGTTTTTGCTGTGCTTTGTGTCAAAACTTCAGACGCATATTTAGGAATGGCAGGGCCTGTCAATATCTGAGGTTCTGGACTGGGACGGGCAGGGGTCCAGCATTAAGGACCAGCTGGAACGTCTGCTGGACGCAAACAGGACTTTCAAGCCAGCGTGCCAAACAAAACGCTGCAAATGGGGGGTTTACGAAAGTAGGGGACCCCCAATATAGATCTTCAAAAAGTAGGATCCCGTTATAATCATACCCCCATTAAGGTACCCCTAATGTCGGAAAACCCCAAATGTTGCGTGCTGAGGGGGCTGCTACCAAGGACATCTTCAGTCAGATGGGCAGTGGTCACCGGTTGTGACGACATTGCACGCACAGCAGACGTCCCATGTGAGCCCATGTAGACCTTATAAAAGCATCCGGTCCGATGTAGAAACCTTGAATCTCAAGTCCCATGCTCTAAACCCTGATAAACCCTGAGCCCGGAAACCAAACCCCAAAGCCCTAAACCCTAAACCCTAAACCCTAAACCAGGATAAGTCGAGCTCTGAATTTGCAAAGTCGGTTGTCTAAACAAGCTGGCACCACACGAAGCCCTGCATCATTCTGGTTTACAAAGTTGCAAGCCGCTGCAAGCCGTCGCTGGAAGTCAAATGTTCAGTTTACTTACACCTCTTACTATTCTGAATGTGCAAAGCTATTTGGCTAAACCTGTCGGCACTGCACGGTAGATCCGCCTCCACAAAAGCGCCACAAACGAATACATGTAAACAAGGCCCCAAGGCCCAAGATGCCCCCTCGAAAAACCGAAAAACCAACTCGCCCGAAAAGCGAGCGAATCATCGGAATCCAACCAAAACCCACCCAAAACCCGCCCGCCCCAACACCCGCCCCAAGACCCCGGACACAAACCCTGTACAATTTCTGCTAACCCAAACCCCAAACCCGAAACCCTGAGCCCTGAACCTGACACCCTGGGTCGCCTCATGAACTCAGAGGGCTGCGAGGGTACCGTGCTTTCCGCGTAAGGCCCTGGCCTGGGGTGTAGGGTTTAGGGGTTAGGGGTTTTGGGGCTTGGGGTTTGGGGCTTGGGGTTTGGGGCTTGGGGTTTGGGGCTTGGGGTTTGGGGTTTGGGGGGTTTAGGGTTTAGGGTTCGGGTTTGCTGGGGTTCCGGTGTTAGGGTTAAGGGTCCGGGACATTGCGGCACTGGGGGCTTCGACAAATGAGGCGGCTTAGGTTTTTTTGGGTGGAGGTTTCAAATAAAATTTGGGTCCACGACGCGAAAAGACCCCAACACCCCAACACCCCAACATAATCAAAAGCATTGCCACATGCTGTTGGGCAGCCGCGTTGAACAACCCCTAAACCAAGCTGGGAGGCCCTAAAGTTTAACTTAAGCTTTGCAACCTGCGATCTCCACCCGAACAACCCTAGGGCCTAAGTCTGAACCCTAAGCCCTCAACCCTTCACAACATATTGAAACCCAAAAAAGCGACCAAGGCCTGGCGCTGAAGAAGGGCCGGGGTCTCCTGTAGGTGGCTCTTGGCTTCGGGTTCACGAGGGTTTTGGAGTTGAGGGGGGGGGGTTAGGGTGAGGGCAAGGGGGGCGGGGGTTGTTTAAATTCGGTTATGGGTCGGGGGGTGGGGGTGGGAAGGGTTTGGGAGGTTGGGGGGGGGGGGGTGGGTGGGGGTAGGGTCGCAGCCCCAAAGCAGCTAGCTGTGAGGGGCCTAGGACGTAGGGTTTTTTGTCGGAGTATAAAAGGAACGACCCTCCCATTGGCTGCACTATGGCTGGTTGGTTGGTTGGTTGGTAGGCCGGTTCGCAGCAGTAGCTGCAACCATACAACCGCTTCCCTGTCCGTATCTCAGGGAAGCTCCGCAAACGTCCATTGGCTGCAGTATGGTCTTACCCCTCCTGCCCCAATGCCAACAAGCCTAAAGCCACACCTGCAAGACCTCAAAAACCCAACCCTCAACTATAAAACTGGAGAAAGCGCCGCGGGCCCCGTACATGGGAGCTCACGCTGTGCTAGTTATCCCTTGTAAATGATCGTACAAAGCCTGCATGGAAATCACGCAATCGGGCCCTGTGCTGCACCATCTTGCGGAACTGGCTTTTGCTCATGTCGCATGGATTGTGTATCGCGCGCCAGGTGAGACATGGCTTCATTGCATGGAATTGGCTCTGCGACTTTGTGGCCCTACGGTCGTAACCCTGAGCCTGTAAGCCCTGCAGCCCGAAAGAAAATGCAGCCTTCCGGAAATATCTGTCAAAAGGAAGCGTAGAGGAGGCAGAAAACACCCCCGTTTCCGGAAGGTCGCTGCAAGAATCTTAGCCAACAGGGTCGCGACACGTGGACGAACTGGATGGCAATGATGGCGAGCTGGCGCGCTCCTCTTCCCAGTGCATGTTTGCTGCAACTTCCCGCTGCATCGCTGCCCACCATTCGCCTGTGGCGCGGAAGCTTGTCTTCCGATTCTCCCGCGCGATCCGAAAGAACTCATGGTCACCGTCTTCCTCGGCGGCATCGAAGCTAAAGTCAGCCACGTAGTACTTTCCCGGCTTATTCCCCCCGGCTTCCACACAACTTGTCCCCAAATCCGAAAGTGCAGACATGGTTTGATGACTCGCTGCGGACCCCGATATCATGAGCATCATGACCATGTTGGCATTCTGTCTGTGTTCCAGCATCTGCCATGTACGGATCATCGTATGCCCGCCAGTTGTTCCTTGTCTCATCGGCTGAGCCAAGGCTCTTAACCTGTAAGTGATCGTACAAAGCCTGGAAATCACGCAATCGGGCCCTGTGCTGCACCATCTTGCGGAACTGGCTTTTGCTCATGTCGCATGGATTGTGTATCGCGCGCCAGGTGAGACATGGCTTCATTGCATGGAATTGGCTCTGCGACTTTGTGGCCCTACGGTCGTAAGCCCTGCAGCCCGAAAGAAAATGCAGCCTTCCGGAAATATCTGTCAAAAGGAAGCGTAGAGGAGGCAGAAAACACCCCCCGTTTCCGGAAGGTCGCTGCAAGAATCTTAGCCAACAGGGTCGCGACACGTGGACGAACTGGATGGCAATGATGGCGAGCTGGCGTGCTCCTCTTCCCAGTGCATGTTTGCTGCAACTTCCCGCTGCATAGCTGCCCACCATTCGCCTGTGGCGCGGAAGCTTGTCTTCCGATTCTCCCGCGCGATCCGAAAGAACTCACGGTCACCGTCTTCCTCGGCGGCATCGAAGCTAAAGTCAGCCACGTAGTACTTTCCCGGCTTATTCCCCCCGGCTTCCACACAACTTGTCCCCAAATCCGAAAGTGCAGACATGGTTTGATGACTCGCTGCGGACCCCGAGGCGCCGTCCAACAGCTCTTCGTCAGTGCCAATGAAGAACTCTTCGAGCTCCGCCACAGCGCTCTCATTAAACACCGCATGACCGACTCGGATATCATGAGCATCATGACCATGTTGGCATTCTGTCTGTGTTCCAGCATCTGCCATGCACGGATCATCGTATGCCCGCCAGTTGTTCCTTGTCTCATCGGCTGAGCCAAGGCTCTTAACCTGTAAGTGATCGTACAAAGCCTGGAAATCACGCAATCGGGCCCTGTGCTGCACCATCTTGCGGAACTGGCTTCTGCTCATGTCGCATGGATTGTGTATCTCGCGCCAGGTGAGACATGGCTTCATTGCATGGAATTGGCTCTGCGACTTTGTGGCCCTACGGTCGTAACCCTGAGCCTGTAAGCCCTGCAGCCCGAAAGAAAATGCAGCCTTCCGGAAATATCTGTCAAAAGGAAGCGTAGAGGAGGCAGAAAACATCCCTAAACCCTAAACACTAAAACCTTAAACCCTGAACCCTACTGGGGTTTAGGGTAATCAGTCCAGGAGGGA